ATGGGTACAGCATCATACTCGTGTCACGAACGTTGCATACTAATGGGTATTTAAATATAATTTCAAGACAAAAAAAAAAATGAAAACAAACACGTCCACATGAGTTCCAATCCGATGTTATTAGCGTACCTGATTCTTTTTCCGTAAATATTTACAAATGCATAAACAATAAAATATAGTATTATATAGGAAAACATCTCTTGTGAAAATTTCCATTATATGAAACTGTTCTGTTGGAAATAAAATAGTACAATCTTGATTTAACATACATAATACCTCTTAATTTCCAATGACCACAAGCTATTCTGATTTAAATAATAAAGACTAATATCAAAGTGTTAAGCATATTTATTTTTATTGATTGTCATTATTATCCATAATCCAATTGTCAGCCAAAAAGATAATAGGGCAATCGAATAATTGCGTTAAACTATTATAAACAGCAGTATAAATTTTACATGTAAATGAACGTTCAGTATGTGTAACACTCCATTATTATTCCTAAAAGAAAAATGTATCACTCTTGAAGAGACGGAGAAAAATTATTGATGATTTCGTAACATGGCTCGTTGATCACAAACTATTCTGCTAGCTGAATGTGAATCATGATGCAGTAATAAAGATGTGAATAATTTACTCCGTTTTTATTATGTTCATTCTTCTTGGCATTGCTAGAACGTTTGTGATAAATGTATGATGTAGAAAAAATGTTTAGTATCAGGTATTAACTCGAAAGTATAGATTAATTTTTTGTTCTAAATAAAACCTGCCTTTTAAAACAAAATCAATGACAAATAAATTTCAAACGGAAAATCTGATATTTCAGTAATTATTTAAAAGATAATTGTTAAAGTAATTTTATTGTTTTTAATATGCATACAAAATAATTTTGAATCATTCAATAACAATTTTAACTGATTATATTTATTTTATATTCATAAAGTTGCCCCAAAATTAATTTAAACACAAAACGTAAATTTGCATAAAGTGAGTTTAATGAAAGTGATTTTGTAGCTTTTAAATTAGAATCTTCCAGAAACATTACCAAACGGTTATTCCCATTTTTTTTTTTTATATTTGGTTTATTACAACCGTCCTTTTTTATAAGCTAAATGAACACAATTCAACTGTTCAAATCTTCTTTTGAGTAAAATTCCTAGTTGATTTTATTATTATTTCATAACTTGGCAATTTAGCTATTTATTCGACTGTGTATTTTCATCAAGGCTGAACAAATATAATTTTCTTGTACTGACGTAATAGGTAGGCGTTGAATCCTAACTTTTGGTTTTGCAGTACTTCCGGTACCCTTTTTCATATTAGAAGAACTTATCCTTTCATTTTTGTATATGCTCAACAAATTTACCGTTTATATTAATATTTTGGAAAGTAGATTTATAAAAAAAATTTGTTTACTTCTCTAGCACAGAACAAATTGACTTGAAATTGATTAACAAACATTACATTTTTTTTTTATAAAACTTTAAGTAAGTCTTATTTATATAGTGTTCAGTAAGTAAGGAAACAGGTCAATGGTTATAAAAAATGTGAACAATAGAAACCCGTTTCCTACTGAAAACTGTTGTAAATAAATGTTTAATGATAAAAATATTGTTTTTTATTTATTAGATTTAATGCTTTTAGAACTTTTTTTAACATTAAACAATCAATTATGTTATTTTATTAGAGTACATGTTACATAATCTTTTTAATAAAAATATTACAGAAATACTATTGGTTATTAAATAGTTGGTCGTTTTGAGATATAAAAAATAGACACCACGTATCTTAAAAAAATTACTTTTCAACTTATGATTAAAGCCATTATAAAATATTTTAGTCATATTTCCGTAATTATCTTGGTACATTCCATAGATTTAATTCTCAGTTCCAATATAAAAAATCAAATCCACTACGTAACACAGATTATATTGATTTTTTTGATAAGAATAATTTCAGTAAATTTATTCATTTTACTATTACACATTTATACATGTATAATATTTCAAAGTATTATTATTTTTAACTTGTAATAAAGTATGATTATAATATAAAATTGAAAACCAGAGACTTTTTTTAAAACCGTATAGTATTAATTGAATTTCTAAAAAGTAATCAAAACGTCTTTTTACAAAAGTGTCTTTTAAATCAAATACTCGACATTAACAGTGCTCATTTCACAGTCTGTAACTGTTTTATCTACTGTGACTAGGCTTTTTATTTAAATGAAATACGATATTACTTTTTAGACTCTTGTTTAAAATCAGTATCGTCCGATTTCATTAATATTCAGTTTTAGAATCATGTATTTAAAAGTACATTTTTTATCATAATTATATATATATTAATATTATAATTTTTTGAGTTTATAACACTCGTATTTTCATTATATATTTTTTTATGAAAAACTATCTGTTTTAAAATAAAGAGATCTAATTATAAAAGAATTCTATTAGAACACTAATTGCTCTAACGTTTAATTAGTTAGAACTCTAATTAAAACCCGTTTTTGTGACTAAAATTTTGATAGTCTGTGGAAGAACACACTAGCATTTTGGAACAATAAAAAAGTATTACATTTATTTTTTAGTTTATCTCATTTAGACCTAATAAATTTAGAAATATATTTATCAATTCTACACAAAAAAATTGACCTTTTCCAATTATAACTAAAATGGGTAAATACACAATAGCTTTTAAGACACTTACAAAAGCTGCAATATTTTTTCTGAATAAACTAATCATTATATGTATACTCAATAACTAATTGTAAGCTGTAGTTTAAACATAATATTTCAACTATCAAAAGTGGGACACGACAACATGAGATTACTAGTTTGTCAGCCCCTTATTTTACTAAGGCTTCGTTGAGATAATATAATTATAGCAAGTATTTGGAAATTCGATATTTTAACAAATACTAAACATTAAATATTATTCAGTGTAATTCACATTTTATGTCGTAACGATTTTTACTTTTGCACTTAAACTAATCAATTTTATTGAATTTGGAGAGTTATGGCAAATATAATTTTTCAACCTATCCAAAATCTTTATTGCATCAAATTAAGAATCAAACGATTAGTAAGAACACTTAACAGGATCCTTACATAAGTTCGTTATTTTCATCAAGATTGAAAATGATCTGTTTTAATTAAAATCACTTTTTATTTAATTCTTTTGTTTAGGTACGTATTTTATGTCATCAAGGACAAAATTACTTTTTAAGAGATTTTACTTGTGACTTAGTATTTCTAACGTTTATTAAGTAAGCTGGCTGTAACTATATTTTATAAAACTATTGCTAGTTAATTACTACAGTCTAGTTAATTAGTATAAGTGAACTATTATATTATTTATACTAAAAAGCTCATTGTCAAATATTTAAATAGTTGAGAGTAAATATATCTATCTAAATTGTCTAATTTAATTAAATTTAATATATATATATATATATTTTTTTTTTTTGATTTTGGTTTCTGTATGAGATTATGTAAATATTTAAATACTAAGTATGCATTGTGTTTAATTTTTATATTAAATTGTAAGCCTTCCTATTACTAAAGAAGTGTCTTTTCTTAACCTTAAATTTCTAGTATTGTTAATCGATTATTCGCTCCTTATTTTCAACAACCCAATAGTACGTACATAGCTTTTATAATGCTATGTCTATATTATTCACTATGCCGTTCAATCCATTTGTCAACTCCTCAGCTCACGATGTTTTGAGTTCAAAAAGGAAACAAAAAAAAAATTACTACTACTTGCGCTTAAGTAAACAGTTGAATAATGGTTTAATAAAAGAGCCTAAAACAGTTCTTTAGCGCGGGACTTGTGATTTATTGAACTTTATTATAATCTCAACAAACATGAAATTCACTAAAAATCCAACTAATTTTAATAAAAAAAAGTTTTTATTAACTTTTATAAAGTAATATACTTTATAAATATACCCACAATATTTAAACAAATATGTTAATTATTGTCTAAATATACTGTACTGAGTAAAAATGAAGCCTATGTTATTATAAAATCTGTGTAAATACGAAAAAAAAGTTGTATTATATAAATTAATGGTGGCATAACTACTTAAGTTTAAACCTACTTCAGCCTATACTTGATGATGACATTTTAATTGAATAGAGCTGTCCTTATAAGTGAATACTTCCTAGTAACTTTGCTTCAGCTAATACTCTTAGTTGATATAATATTGACATATTCAAGTATTTTAAAGCAAAAGTTTTTACATTTCAATTGTTTCATAAACACCAACTAAGTAAATGAAAATATTTGAGTGTTAAACATTAAATTTTGACCTAAGTATGTATTAATAATTGTGTTCAAAATGGTTACAACGCAAGAAATGATCCAAAAATTCTCATACGACAGTATGATATTTTTAATAAACATAGAAGTAGTTTAAATTTAACATAATTTATGAAAATTCGTCCACCATAGTATTTATGCAATATAACATTTTCATCACTATTTATAACACTTTTTTCTTTATATCGTATGCATTAAAAACTTCCAGTAGATGTATATGAAATGACGAAAATTATTAATAGAATATATCCGATATATGTGGAGGTTTTAATTAGTTATTAATGTTATTTTAAATTTATTTTGTTTCTCAATGATTACGTACATTGGTTAATCTACAAATTTTATTAGAATTTTTAGAGTAAAATTAACCTAGCCCAAATATCTCATTGAATAATAATAATAAATTTAAGCTATGCTACCTTATCTGATATGTAACCTCAATCGTTTACAATCGAGTATATTCTCAATTTTCTTCAAATAAACTTTAACTATTTCATTTGGTAAGATATTAATATCTTATTCATTCATCCCATTCGATCTCCTTCATTTAATATTAAATGAAAGAGACCAACCGATTTTAGAATTGAAGCTAATCTAAATTCTAAATAATGAATAATTTTAAATTGTTTTCTATATATTCAAACGTATTTTAATAGAAATATGTGAATTTTCAGGAGCGCTATTTACTCAAGAAGATAAAGACAGTACCACTGAAGTTGCTTTCAAGTATGCCGTGTATAGAATAAATAAAGACAAACTAATACTTCCAAATACTACATTGGTATACGACATAGAATACGTCTCATCACAAGATAGCTTTAAAGCATCAAAGAAAGGTATTAATTATTTGCTTTTGTTTTAAATATTACCATTGACTCAAACGATGTACGTATTTCGCTCCTAGACGTGCAACTCTGTTTAGCCAACATTATTTTTTAATATTTGTAAAACTATTTTAATTTTATTGTATTTCCTAAACTGAATAGTTATTCCAAAAAATAAAGATTTATCTTTGAAACAATAACATTATCAAGTGCGATAAAAAATATCTTCAACACTTTGAAGATCACTTGCATTATTTTTGCCTATAAATAATTTTACTATAACTTATTCAATTTAGAAAGTTTTTTTACGTGATTTATTTCCCTACCCCTTATTATTCCTTGTTACATTATTCTCTAAGTACATTACCTACGTAACATGCATTTCAATTCCAGCTGCGTCTATATATTATTTTGAAAATCCGTTCTAGACATATTTGGCTTGTTCACGATTGAGCTATTTGCAGTCTTAACCATTTTTCGTTGACAAGTGTTAATATTGTTTCTTATCAAACGATAGCACACCACACATACGTATATACTGGGTGTCCCACCATGTTCTGACAAATTCTTAAACTTTTAAAACAATAAATATTTTTCGTAATTTTCTTTTTTAAAAACTTTTTAGAATCTAGGACTACAATGGAATCATAACAAATATTTATTTATAATATATTAAAAATAAATTAAATTACTAAAAATGTAAAAAACTTTAAGATAGCCTTTTTATAGGCTAGATTATTAGAAATAATTTAGTAGAAAAATCATTTTTCGATAATTTATGGTTAAACCAGTAGAGCATTTTCAAATATTGTATGTAAATGTTTGAATTTTTCATATTTAATCTACTGTAAATTCAAGCTCTAACAAGATTTTAAAAAAGAAAGTAACGAAACATTTTTAATGCATCAAAAATTGTAAGATTTGTTGGAACATAGTGGAACACCCGGTATATATTTCGTTAGGAACGTGTGAGAAGCTGTCAACTCGAGTTGATTTTGGACAGTGAACTTTAAATGAGAGATGTCCGAGTGAATAATAATAATAATAGTTCTCAAATAAAGCCGTATGAATGTGAAACGATATGTGTGCCTTAGATGGAATGACTGGTATGAATACACACATAAATCATTCCGATTTTGAGAAAGACCTACGATAATACAGTCAATGTATATGCTTACATTACTTATAAAATATACGTATTATTTTTATAAAAAGTGTACGTACACTTTGAATAGTTTCAGATCTATACAAAAGACTTCCCGCGGAAGTGGCACGGTTTCCGGAAGACTTTACCGTCAGGCCAAATGTTGTTTATTGTGCTATTTCTGCACAAGATAATATAAATTATCTGACGAAAAAAATTACTGCACTTACTGGTTTACATGTGTAATAAATTATTCTTTGGTGAAAAATCAAATAGGCTTATTTTATTATATTTTGCAAATAACTTAATTGATACTACTGTAATGATAGTAAAAATAAATAATAAAAATTAGTTTAAACTAATTGACCTAAAAATTAAAACAAAATAATTCACATTTGTTTTTATGTTATAAACATGACTGTGAAGCTAAATTAACATTAGTTATTAATCAGTGTAAATATTTTCAAATAACTGTTGAGCTTTATGATTTATAAGTCTATTAGTTTTTCCAATTGCCATTTTCATTATGATTCATTAAAATTTACTGTGTAATCATGTGTCAAAATTAAAAGTCGAGACCTTCATTAAACTACCATGATGACCTTGCCTAATATTATACAAAATAATCATGTATTACTTATGGGAATCACTGATTAGAATAGAAAATAGAAATTACTTAATTTAAATATTGGTTTTAATGATGACATTTTTAGTATAATGAAGAAAAAATTGGAAGGAAACTTTCTTAAAATAAATTCAAACTTACAATAACGACTTTTTTCATAAAATTTGTATCAAGTATAATCTTTTATCAGGACTGGATTAAGAATTAACAAGTCTTAAAATGGAACTTAAAAGTAACTCATTCCTCCTCGTAATGGTAACTTTCAAAAAAAGTTTTTCTTTTTGCTTCATGTCTCATTATATGTTTTTATTTAAGAAAGATGTGAGATAATATTTTACAATTTAATATTTTAATGAAAAACGACTCTCACCCTATCTACCATTTTACCTAACTATATCTGCATTTTATACATTATATCTAATAAGAATTTAAGAAAATTATTCTTATTTCATAAGAAAACTATTTCTTTGGAAAGTTTATTTTTTAAATAAAACAACTAAAATTGACACGAGTTTGTGTTTTAGTTTAAATTTTGTATATGACGATAAAATGTTTCTTCTAAAATGAGGAAAGAGTAACGACTTTTAAATAATATAAATAAACACGTTGAATGATCAAAGATATTTATAATATTTAAATTAAAATATACCATTTTTAGTAACAAAAATACATGTTATGGTACTGGTTTCTACACTTAAAAAATCTTAACTTCGATGTATTAGTTTTTATTTACAATTAGTCAAATGATTTATTATTTGAAATCATTCTTATGCTTATGCTATTTTATATTAATTAAAAATAAATTCAAAATTATAAATTAAAATGTTCTATTATATTTTTATTTCTAAATATATGTTTATTTACGTTCTATTAGAAAATCCGAAACCAAGTTTGGTCCGCAAATGTGTTTTTAGAAAACTTTACAATGTTTCTGAATTTTTAACAGTTTAGAGTCGTTACTTTAAAAGAAATAAAGCGCTTGGATGTGAATACAAATTGAAATGTAATTTTTTCCCAACTGTAGTTGTAAATTTGCAATTTAATGGAACAATTTGTTTTCCAATTCATTTATTTATAAATAATACCTTATTTAAACGTACAATTTTTTAGCATTCATTTACTTTTGATTATTATTAGATCGTGCATTGATTTAATAATGAGTCGCTAATTTAAATATCATCGAAATGCATGTTAATATATTAAATACTAAAATACAAAACAATACTTTTATAACAAATATGTTAATAAAAGATTATACTTGACAATTAATAAATGTCGTAAAAACAAATTTGAGAAACATTATTTAAATTATCATTAAAATTCGACTATCAAAAATAACATAATCAAGACGAGCACAAACTCTTAGATTAACAAAAGAATGGCATCCTAAACATTTATTTGAGTTTTATTTACTCAGAATTTGTTTATAGGATTAGTGAGTCATGAATTATTTATTTTGAACTTTTAAAAATAAAAATAAAAACTTTTGAAAGTAGTTTTATATTTTTGTTACCATACATATCCATTGAAAAAAATAGTTTATATAGTTTTAAAAAGTTAAAAAGAAACTTAAAACTTGGAAGAATACCCCGTGCCATATACGATTAGAAAGATCCAACAACAAGTTTTAAAAACCATACTTTTTAGCTCAAAAAGAAAATATGAATTTCATATTCATATTGAATGTATGATAGTAGATTAAAGTCGTTAAATAACAACATTATTTGTTTATATTAACTATGTTTTTATTGAACATTCAGAAAAATACATTAATACTTCATAGTAAGCATTAATAATTAAGGGAATTCTAACGAAGTGGATTACAAAAATTCCTATTTAAAGATTATGTGATTAAAAATATTATATATATATATATATATATATGTGTGTGTGTGTGTATGTATTCCTATTTTTATTAAATTTAATCAACGTTTACATGAAACCAACGTCCATTAAATTCTTTATATGATATGTGATATATGAGTAATTGGTGATGTTTTCGATTAAAATTTCTGGTCATAATATTGTAATCCGCAACACGTATTTATGGTTTTTTTTATATATGAAAAACATCATTAATGTGTGTTTAAAATATAAAAAAACAGATGTGCATTTGTGGAGATTGATCTACCTAATTCTAATCTAATTTTTTCTAATGTTAAGCTGATAGTCTATCTCAATCAATCGAAATTTTAATTTGCTTTAAAAGTAAAATTATTGGTATTAAAATACAATTTTACTGATTAATAAATGTTTATGCTCATCCCTATCTTTTTCTTTAAGCTATGTTCAACATAAATAAATAAGTAATAAATGGTGTATGATAAATAAAAAAATAATACGTATAAAGGAAATAAAAAAAGCATTTATGATACATGATTAATTATTTTTATACAATATAAATAAAATATAAATTTTATTAAACTATATGATAGCCTATATATAAAGTTTATTAGTAGAAGTATTTCCAGTTAACTTGTAAATAAATTAATAATATATTTATAGTAGTCTAAAAAAATTTAATTAATCCAAGATAGCAATTTTAAAAAATATTATAAAAACATTTTTGTAGCATTAAAAAAAAAGCTATCAGGAGTTTAAACTGGTTTTATTCTATAAATGTTTTAAGAATGCTGTGAAATAAAAAAATTGACCTACTATTATTTATTAATTTTTAAATCTAAAAATCTTATATTAAGTAGGATATATATATTTATATACTTATATATATTTGTCGATGAACACAAATATTTATGCATTACTGTTAAACAATTGTTAATGTAATATTATTTTCTGTGAGTTGTTAACTTTATGTTGAACATTAGTGAATTAATTATCTTACTACGTTGAGAATCCACTTATCTCATATTTGTTTTGTCCAATCAAGATGTGCTTTTTAGTCATAATGATCGATATAATAGCCTAGAGCCCTAATAACCGTTGTCAATTACCCGTTTGAGCAATGTTGCAATGATAACTTATTATTTAACTAATATAAATCGGCATATTTCCTTGGTCAATTTCACGTAATCATATGAATTATCAATAGCATCATCGCTCATATTACTAATCTATCAGTTTTTATTCCTTTTGCTCTTAGGGTTAAGGTACAAAACTTAGTAAATTTATCATTAATACAATGATTTTTTCTATAAGTCTTTATTGAACCTCGGCTAGTGGTGAATCCAACTTTGATGAATTTATGTGCTTTTATCAGAAAAGGTATTTTAGCCAGGAGGCCGT